CTTGATTTTCTTGTACTTGCGCTTGGACGCCGTGTTGAGGTCCTCGTGCACCTTGTCGAGGACGAACATGAGGAACTCGGCGGCGTCGTGCTGCTGCGAGCCGCGGTACGACGACTCGTACTTGTCGACGGTGTTCTTGAAGTTCATGGAGACGTCGGGCACGTAGCGCAGCGTCCACAGCGCCTTGAGCAGCACGGCCAGCTGGCCCGTGATCTCGCCGCGCGTGCCGTACTTCTTCGAGTTGATCTTGTTGGAGCGCGCCAGGTCGTGCTTGTACTGGTCCAGCACGAAGTACTCGGCCAGCACGTCCGTGTGGCTCAGGCACTGCACCACGGCGTTAATGAAGCACGTGTTGCCGTGGTTGCGGATGCCCATGGCGCCAGGCACCTTGCCCTCCGCGAACGCCACGCACTCCGCCTCCGCCTTCGCCGAGCGCACGTCCGACGCGGAGATCGTCTTGCTGCGCTCCAGCTTGGCCGCCGACGCCGCCGCCCGGTTGGAGCCGCCGCCGCCGCCGCCGCCGCCGTGCACGCCCGCGATGCCCGACGACAAGGCGGAGGGCGGCGCCCCCCCGGACCCGGGCCCCCCCGCCCCCCCGCCCTGCACTTTGCTCGCCACGCGGCTCACGAAGGAGCTCATGCGCGTGAGGTACTTTTTCTTTGGTTTCACTGAGGCACTGCTGGAATCACTGCCGCCGTCCACGCTCTCACTGCCGCCCCCGCTCAGGCCGCCGCCCAGGCCAGGCTCGCTCACCACACTGCCCTTGGTCGAGGAGGTCTCGGACGCGCCGTTGGGGTTCGGGCTCACCTCGCCGCCCTTCGAAGGCACGCCCCCGCCGCCCCCGCCGCCGCCGCCCCCGTCCTTGAACTTGGCCGGCTTCTTGCTCAGCCTGAAGGACATGAAAGGGCGCTTCCTGCGGGGCTCCGCGTGCCCGTTCATGGCCGAGGGGTTGCAGAATCTGCGGCGAGAGGCGAGAACATCGTCAGAACAGGGAATAGGGAATGCTACGCCAAGAACAATAATTATGATAATACCAATACTAATACTAACACCAGAACTAATACTACTAATAATAGTAAGAGTAAAAACTAAAGTAAAAAAAAAAAAAGAAAAAAAAATCCATATACATATATACATACATATACACACGCACGTACACACACACACGCACGCACACAAGCATGCACACGCACACACACACACACTCACACTCATTCTGGCATGGCCCTTAAATAGCTTATATAGCCTATTTAGGTCCCTTATACAACTTACTTAATCTATTTACCAATCATGGGAAAATCCGGTTTAAAACAAGAAATAAAAATGAATATTCTAAAAAAAAAAAAAAAAAAAAAAACACTTTACAAGCTAGTAAATAAAATAAAATTGTATCAAATCTTTCTTCGCAACAAACGCAAGCAAAATAAATATGAGCAGATAAAACAGACATGAAGGCTATAATAATGATGATTATGATGTTGATCACTGGTGACGAGGAATTATGATGGATAATGATTATAGTTGCTAAAGATATGGATAAGGTTAGGGGTAAGGGTAAGGGTAAGGGTAAGGGTAAGGGCAAGGGTAAAGGTAAGGGTAAAGGTAAGGGTAAGGGTAAGGGTAAGGTTAGGGGTAGGGGTAAGGGTAAGGTTAGGGGTAAGGGTAAGGGTAAGGTTAGGGGTAAGGGTAAGGGTAAGGGTAAGGGTAAGGGCAAGGGTAAGGGTAAGGTTAGGGGTAAGGTAAGGGTAAGGGTAAGGTTAGGGGTAAGGGTAAGGGTAAGGTTAGGGGTAAGGGTAAGGGTAAGGTTAGGGGTAAGGTAAGGGTAAGGGTAAGGGTAAAGGTAAGGTTAGGGGTAAGGTTAGGGGTAGGGGTAAGGGCAAGGGTAAGGGCAAGGATAAGGGTAAGGTTAGGGGTAAGGGTAAGGGTAAGGTAAGGGTAAGGGTAAGGTTAGGGGTAAGGGTAAGGGTAAGGGTAAGGTTAGGGGTAGGGGTAAGGGTAAGGGTAAAGGTAAATGTAAAGGTAAGGGCAAGGGTAAGGGTAAGGGTAAGGGCAAGGATAAGGATTAGGATTAGGATAAGGGTTAGGTTAATAGTTAATATAAAAATCATCATCATTGTCACTATCATAACCATAATATTACTACCATTATAATTATTACTATTAACACAATAATGATAAACAACAACATTGGATGGTAGCGGTGATGGTGGGTGGTGGATGATAGTACTATTACTACAACTACAACTACTACTGTTACTACAACTACAACTACTACTATTACTACAACTACAACTACTACTATTACTACAACTACTACTATTACTACAACTACAACTACTACTATTACTACAACTACAACTACTACTACTACTATTACTACAACTACTACTATTACTACAACTACTACTATTACTACAACTACTACTATTACTACAACTACAACTACTACTATTACTACAACTACTATTACTACAACTACAACTACAACTACTACTACAAC